AATTGAAGCATGTTCCCACGGCTTAAACATTTTAGAAGCAAAGATGAGCCAAACCTTTGAGTCTTCAGGGTCCTTGCAGATTGATCTCTGCAAACAAGGGATTCAAGCAAATCATTATGGAAGAAACAGAAATATAACAAGTCTACGATGATAGCATTAATCTAAATGTCATGCTAAACAAGATTAAAGAACAAGAAACATACCAAGCTCGACTTCACTTTCTCCACGAAGTCCCCGTTCTTAAAACTCTCAAACATCTCGGCCGACGAACTCCGCTTCTCGAACTCCCTCAATCTCGTTTTCAACGCTTGGATTGGCTCCCAATCCCTAGTAACGGTCACCTCCTCGCTCTCGTTCTCTCCCCAAAACTCTCTAAACCTCACTCTGTTCCATTTCCTCATCCCAGCACCATCGATAACCCCATCCCCATCTTCCACCTCGGATACAATTGCGTTCTTAATAGCAGACAAATCGATCCGAATCCTCGTCCTGGGCTTCCACTTCTCCAGTACAGTCTTGCTAAAGTCCGGCGAAGAGTACACCCTGCGAAATTCCGATATCTTCGGCTGCAATTTCTTAACAAACTCAATTTCAGCAGGAGGAGAGGAACCAGAACCAATTGCAGGAACAGAGAAACTAGAGGCGGAATTAAAGAAGTTCTCGATTTCTCGGTCGAACGACGTGGCCAAATTCTTGAAAGAGTTAGCTCTGTCCTTAATCAACTGAAGATCCGCATCCGCCGAGTCGCGAACCTCCCTCCAGCCTTTGGAAAGAAAGGAGAAGGCGTTGGAAGAAGAAGCATCACCGGCCATTGCGGATTGTGATTGAAGGCAATCACGAGGTCCGGAGAAGGAATCCCTGGGAAAAGGAATTACGCAGGAAGAAGCAGTAAGGAAGAGAAATTAGGAAATTTGGGTAAAGGATTTTGGGTGGGGTTTGTCCTTCTGAAACCTCCTGGAAGCGAGGGAAGAAGAGCCCACCTGGAGGAAAGTGGAGGAAGATGGAAGATGGAAGATGGTAGATGAGAATGGAGGAATGGAGAGGGAGAATGACGTGGCGAAGTGGGATTGGAGGGATGGGGGAGAAAGGAGAATCGTTTAGGGTTTCATTGCAGAATATTCTGAAGAAGAAAAAAAAGAAAAGGAAATGTGAACGATGGATAACAGACTGTGAGCACATCCGTTTGTGGCTGAGGTGACGGTTGGGGATTTTCCCCCAATTTTATTAGCGGACACTAAAATTCAAAATACCCTCTTTTTATTCACATTATTCTTTCTCATCGTGCCAAATTTATTTTCAACCTATTTTTTAAAAACATTTAAAATATTAATCTTTTTTTTTTTTTTGTCGACATGGACTACCAGAGTATCTAACTCTCATACTTTTGCACCCCAATTCAAATTCCACCCCTACACAAAATTTCACTCTCCTCCGCTTTGGTGATTTTCCCAATCAACCCAAAATTCACCACCTACCTTGACGATTATTAAAATAAAAAGTTGACCACGTTTGATTACTTTAAGCATATTCATAAGCTAACAAATGTTCCAGGGCATATGACCATTTTCCACATGTTTATGTATTGTAGATTGATAATCACTGTTCCTGAAAACACATGCAATTAAATGATACGGTGGGGGTGGAGGGGAATATTAGCGTCCAGAGACAAAATCCGCATGAAAAGTATATATATTTAAATAAGAATACATTTGTGGTTACATGTCAAGGAAGAGAGCTAATGGCCACAAAAAAATTGACAAGAAGAAAAAAGGAAGATTGTTGCTACCACTTGAACAATAATGCCTACCTGTGCTCCCCCAAGTCTAATTAAGTTTCTTCAGACAAGCAGAACAGCATTTATGCAGCCATCATTCTCCGGATTATTGGTCACCTGAGCATACTTCCCTGAAGAGACCCACCACACAAACAAAATATAATGTCAATAAACTTTCGTCCCAAATGAAGAAGAGTCCAAAAGAAAGGAACGAAAATCCTTACCCCACACTACTTTCCCAGCTGGTGTGACCAGTCCAAGTTCACTGACATTCACCTAATGAAAAAGGAAAAGAAGGGCATGTGTGACTAATAAGAAACAGAATTGATTGAAGACTTCACGCACAGTGAAGAGGTTGAGCGTATGAGCTATGTACCTCAATAATAGCTCCCTTGGTCATGACACCAAGAGACGTATACATAGGACCATTTGGATTTTTCTTCACTCCAATGATCTCGAGATTGAAAGTGCATTTAAGTTCGGGATGTGTTACATGTGCTTTTGTAAATCGAAGCCCAGATGGGCGGATAAACCGCTCATACTTGGGAGGTTTTCTTGTAAAACTAGCCCCGACAAATGTAGCTTTTGTGACCATCCTCTTCCATTGTTTTGCTGTAAGAATGCATGGATTAATGATTGCACTTTCATAGTTTATAGAAAATAACTGAAGATTCTCGACAATGGCTACACAGATTGTATTGCAGAAAAACTACAATTCAAGACGAACGTTTGCAAATAAACGAAGAAATCAGATATCAATACTTACCTTTCCTTTTACCAGTTCTTATCACTTTAAACATTTCATCCTCCGCAACAGGCCTGACCTAAATGAGGCATAAGAAGAGTGTGAACCTCAATAAAAATGTTACTCTTAAACGAAAGATAATTAAGGCAACAACAAACAGCTCTTACCTTGGGCAGGGGAACTTCCCACTTTCCAGCTTTTTCTTTCCTTTTTTGCTTAATGGTGTTGCTAAGAACCTATTTTAAAGTACAGTCAGATTCCCAGATTTATTTAGAAAAACTACATGACTAAGTTAAAAGAAAGTTCCAATATTGCATACTTTTGCCCGAGCTGTATTTTCACGATCCAATAGATAGGCAGGAAGAGCACCTTCTTGAACATCATCATCAACCTTGCGTCTACTTGAAGACTCCTCGTGCATAGCCAATCTGTTGAAACAAGCATACAGTAATTACCAATCTAGCACTATTTATTTCATTCAAAATGCATTAATGTAATGAAATTTGTCAAACGCCCTAATCAAGAGAGTGCCACTTTAACGAAACTACTACTCTAATCGATTATAGCAATACCAAATGCACAATAAAAATAATGAACGCTTATCAAACTATTACAACTCCAGTCTACTATAGAAAATACGAAATGCACAGTAAAGAATTGGAAAAATGATAGAATTAAACCCCTAAAGGACTGTTGAAATACAAGATCAAAGATATTAACAACCGGAGAAGAATTCACAAGAATCCACAAAAGATACTCACGTTTTTTTCATCAGAGCCTTCTCCGCATATCGTTTCTTCGCGAACATCTTACCCTTGATACCCAAAGCCTGCAACATTAGAGTTCAATCAGAAAGAGAACGTCAATATCATAACCGAATTGAAAATTACAAATAAGCGGAAATTGAAATAAGGAATGAAACCAACCTTCTGGGCCATAGCAGATCGTTTGTGCACTTCACGAGCCTCCTTCTTGCGTTTACGCTCAAAGTGATCATGGCGGTAGCCATGTCGCTTCCTGTGAAGCTCAATGTAATCTCCCTGCGGCTGTTATGCAACAAAAGAATACAGAAACAATATTTCAAATGCAAATAACTGGAAACATATAGAGTTAAAGTTTACGAGTCGAGAAGCAAACCATGGCGAAATTTCACAGTCGCCGACCGGATTGTTCGTATAAGATTAAACCCTAGAGATGATGAAAAATCGATCAAAATTAAACCCCAACAAACTACAGGGAGCTCTTTGGGGAGTATTCCTACGTTAGAAAGAGGAGGTGATTCGACTCTCGAAATCTTAGGTTTAAATGATAAAGTTGGGCTTCAACCCATAATCAGGCCCATTATAAGCCCACTATTCGCCCGGCCCACTTTCTCTTTTTTTTAGAGTTAAATACACTTTAAATATAATAATAACGTGATTAATCTAACTCACCTAATTGTGTGAGAGTAATTAATACAATTCAGAACTTTCTATTTTCACAAGAGGATTCCGCTCGATCTAATTTAGTATCAAGGTGATTCTCTTTCTCTTTCGATATATATGGGTCCTTGCAACATTTTGACGACATCGTTATGATCAATTAATGAGACTTTGGTAGAAAATGTTCTTGCCTCTATCATTAGCTCGGGTAGTGGTTGTTTTTGGTGTTTCAGTCACCTTTCAATAGCTCTCTTAATTACGTGCGAGGAAGTACCTTCGTCGAGTAACGGAAAGCAAGTTAGTCCCCAAAAATGCTTGTTCTTTTGTTGTCGTCGGGGTCCAAAATCTTCTTTGACGAGACTTGAATTGGAGTATTGTAAGAGCGTGCACTTGAAAAGACCTTTAAAGAGAGAGATGAACTCAGTACAACCAAAATTCGTTAGTGAGTTTGATATTTTTTGTTGTGTTTAACCCAAATAACCAAAAAATAGAGAATCAGATTAGGTTAAGTTACGAACAACCTAATTTTTATTCAGTTATTTTAACTGTAATATATTTAATTAAAATCGAAAAAACTTACTAATGTATTTAATCAAAAGTTTTGTTAATATTTTATAAACTTAAAAAAAAAAATAGAAATACTCTTAACTATAGTAACCGGTTGAAAAAACATTCAAAAAATTTTAAAAGTAAAATTAAAAAATTTGAAGATAATCTATGAATGTTTTCATATTATACTTAACCTTAATTTTTTTAATAGTATTAAAAATTTATATTTTTTAAATAAGAAAATATTAATTATTTTTAGAATATTATAATTTTAAGAAGTATTTTTAAAATATTTGAAAATTTTAGAAGTATTATTGAAAACTTCCAAACAAAAAAAAAAAAAAAAAAAAAAAAAAAAAAACTATTATGTTTATTTTATTTTATTTATTTTCATCCGTACGCAAGATCTTCTCCAGGTAATTTTCGCGGTTTTCAAACCGGGTCTATTGCGGTGAACCGTCGGTATATAAACGGGGCCCATATTCTGACAACGAATAGCCTTTGGCAACCACCTTAATTTTTCGTCCTGCATTTCGAAGGGAGAAAAAGGCTAAAAAGGAAACAGAAGCTAGCTGAATTCTGTTCTTGAATCGGCTGCTTCGTGATCACGCATCTGCACTTCCATTCCGTTTTCTCTCCCCTACCAGACACACTGGGAGGAAATTTCCATCTCCAATGGGGGTTCCACAGACGATGGAAATTCTGAGCGCGAGAGCCGCACTTGTGAGAGAGTCGCTGCAGAAGAGCCAGAATGTCACAGAGAACATGGTCTCCATTCTTGGCTCCTTTGACTACCGTCTCTCCGCCCTTGAAACTGCAATGCGGCCTACTCAGGTGCTTTTTAATGATTCGTTGGTTAGCTTGCAGAATTTAGAAATGCATTAATTAGACACTGTTTCTTTGTTCTGAGGATTCTGCGAATTTATTCATACGTTGCGTACTATGTGTGAATTTGTGTCGTTATTGTGATCGTGCTGTCTATTTAACGTTAATTATAAGATCTGCTCGACGATTTGTTGATACGTTTGATTGATTTTAAGGAAACAGGACAGTTGCTGTTATTGTTATCTTCGTTTGTATTTTCTTTTATTTTTACTATCGTGTTCTTGTTTTTGACGCGACAGATAAGAACTCATTCAATCCGGATGGCACATGAAAATATTGACAAGACATTGAAGGCTGCGGAAAGTATGCTGGCTCAGTTTGATCTTACACGCAAGGTTGATAGCTCTTACCTTCTTGTTTATTTATTTATGGCTTCTGATATGCTGTTTGTTGTTAATATTATAAGCGTCTTGTCCTGTAGCAATTGTAGTTAGTTGGAATAAATATATCATACCCAAGCCACGCTCGTAATTCATGCCTCGCGACTGACTGGATTTGAATTGACTATAAGTTTTGTGTGATTTTTTATTTTATTTTATTTTTTTGTGTGGATATTTGCGGCACTGGAAATTTACATGAAATTGGTAGCGTTGCATTCCTTGGTGACTTCACGTCTCAGATTGTTTAGGCACTTTAAGAGACTGACAGGTGATAAAATCTTAAAAGTTTCCATTTGCACCATCTGGACAGGTTTCTTTGCCCTCTTAATTCTATTTCATTACGTCTACAACTTGGAAGCATAAATCATACCAGTTAAATATATAATCACCTGGAAATACGAATATACCAACACGCTAGAGGCACATGTTGTACAAAATTAGTTGGAACTTCTTTTGTTCTTTATTGTTAACATGGTGGGACACACAAGATGTAATTGAAGCCCTTGTGCGTTCTTCTCTGGTTCACACAGAGCACATGTTTACTTTTGTCTCGGGCTGTAGGATTGTTCTCCTCCAACTTGATCTCTGAATGAATTGATGAAAAATCAGTCTTTGTTTCTCATTGTCTATTTCTCTTTAATCATACTAAAGGGGGTTGGCAGCTTCTGTGCTTGGTTATGAATCCTATTTTTGTTCATCAAGTGAAGTGGTAGAGACAAAGAAAAAAGTAGCTGCTGAAATAGCTGGCTTGAGCAGCACATTGCCTTTTATAGTGATGAAAACGTGATGTTCGCTTGGCCTTTTGGCCATTTATGACAAAAATTTATCCCGGATGTTTAGAAGCAAAATGAGTTTAGCCAAAATCACCTTTTCTGTATGTCTGTGTATGTATGATTCCGTGAAAATCATATAATCAGTGCATTCTTTTGTATTGATAAGGCAGTAGAACCAAGTTAAATCATATATGTGATTACATGACATTAACGTGCCTCTATTGCATTATCTTAATCATTTGGATGACTTTTTTGTTGCAATGCCTGGTGACATGTTCGTGCTTCTCAATGTTATTTTATTATGTAAGAAAGACTGTTGGCAGTTGGTGGCTTCTGTAGTTTGATCAGAGAATTTACAGTGTTAGCATTTGGGTCAGTAAGTGGAACTGAGTTCCTATTTCTTTAGTTTCATATTTTTCTTTGAACACTATTACTGTCACTATTTTCAGTGTATGCAACTTGATTTTCTGTCTGCAAATGATATTATTACTTGAATTGAAAAATGTAGGCCGAGGCTAAAATACTCAGGGGGCCACATGAGGACTTAGAAATGTACTTGGAAGCAATTAGTCAGCTACGGAGCACCAATCGCTACTTTACTAGTAACAAAAATTTCAAAAGGAACGAAGCTATTCTTACCCATACAAGCAACTTGCTTGTCAAAGCCATTTCAAAGCTGGAAGATGAGTTCAGACAGCTTTTAACAAATTACAGGTTTGTTTTCTATTTTTTTATTGCTTTTTATGGGTAACTGTACGTTCACTGTTGTAACGTTTTTTAAGAATTGTTTTATAATCATTTGAATATTTTGATTTCAAGTAATCACCAATATATATAGACTTCCTCGTTTCTTTTCTTAGAGCTGTTCTCGTTCAGTTAAAGGTTTCAAAAGTTTGTGACGAAAAGGATATAACAGATGTTTCTCTCCTTGTTTCTGATTTAAATTAATAATCATCTTACGAACTTATGCTTGGTTAACATTTTTAATAATGCTTTTATTTTTCTCGGAGCCGTGGTTTCATAGAATAGATGTTCGTTTTTGTAATTTCTATTAGAATGAAAATATGAGGCCTCCGACAGTAAAGACATATGAGAGTAAGGGCAAAATGTCATTAGGGGATGCGTTGTGCGGGGGGACAGTGAAAATGTCATTAGGGGATGTGGAATTTCTGGCAAGTAAAGTTAGGAAGAAAGGTTACCAGCTTTCTGAAGTCAACTGGGTGTTTGGGGTCAAACCCAAGCCCGGGATGGGAACCTTAGATAAATGAACAGAGGATTCCTTGCTATGGTCACCTTGATCAACCCAACATTTTATAGTTTTAATTCCATCCTTTGGCTGTTATATTGAACTGTCAATTTTGTTATTCAGATTTGCTGCCTTCTTATCATAATTAGCCCTGCAGAAAAGCTAGGCAGTTGTTGTAATTAATATTTGAGATATTTGCACCACATTGTACTATTAATTGGTATACAAGAACAATGAATGTGGACTTACCAAATTGCAGTAAGCCAGTGGAACCCGAACGTCTATTCGACTGCCTCCCCAACTCGTTGCGTCCATCGTCAGCATCTAGGCAAGGTGATAGTGGTAGCAAAAATAGTTCTGATCATCACAACAAAAGCTTAGAAGCTTCCGTCTTCATTCCCCCAACTCTTATTCCTCCCAGGGTTCTTCCATTGTTGCATGATTTGGCCCAACAAATGATTCTAGCTGGCCATCAGCAGCAACTGTTTAGAATATACAGGTATCACCTCTTTTCCGGTTTTCTGATGATGTTTGACTAGTTAACGTTTTGAATACAAATTTGTTCAATATGTGGGTTGTTTTTTTTGTGAGATCCCACATTGGTTAGAGAGAGGAACAAAACATTCCTTATAAGGGTGTGGAAATCTCTCCCTAGTGGACGCGTTTTAAAACCTTGAGGGGAAGCCTGGAAGGGAAAGTTGCTAGCGGTGGGCTTGGTATGTTACAAATAGTATCATAATCAAATACCGGGTGGTGTGCCAGTGAGAATGCTGGAACCCCAAGAGAGGTGGATTATGAGATCCTACGTCGGGTTGGAGAGAGGAATGAAGTATTCCTTAAAAGAGTGTGGAAACCTCTCTCTTGTAGACGCGTTTTAAAACCTTGAGGGGAAGCCCGAAAAGGAAAGCCCAAAGAGGACAATATCTGCTAGCAGTAGCATGGGCTATTACATTTCTCATGCAACTTGCCATTTCCTTTGTTTAATATGCAAGTTGTAGATTTCTAGATTTCGATGAGAACATGTTATTTTATGCGGACTTTTTGATGATGCTAAGTTGCTGACTACTGACTTGAAATTCTGTATATTACATCTTTTTAGATAAAGTAATGAAATTTTGAGTACTGTTTGAGAATGAATCAGCCTATCGCTGTTCATTGTTCTTATATAATTCATTGTTATGCTTTAGGAAGCTTATACACGGAGTGATCAAATGTTTAAAGAGCGTTTGCTTAAAGAATGTCGCATCTTACATGTCTTACTTTCTATTCAGCCCTTCAAAATATGGACCAATTGAATAAATTATTTCTTTTATTTCAGGGATATTCGTGGTGCAGTCTTAGAACAGAGTCTTAGGAAATTAGGTGTTGAGAGGCTTAGCAAGGATGATGTCCAAAAAATGCAGTGGGAGGCTCTTGAAGCTAAGATTGGGAACTGGATACATTACATGCGCATTGCTGTAAGGACTTGCCATATTTGGTTGTGGTCATTTAAGCGTTCTATTCTGCGGTCCTATTTAAATTTTTATTCTCAACTATTTACTCCTGCTTGAAAAAGGTTAAATTGCTGTTTGCTGGGGAAAGGAAAATATGTGATCAAATATTCGAAGGTGCAGATGCTCTCCAGGACCAATGCTTCGCAGATGTGACTACAAGTAGCGTGTCAGTGCTACTAAGTTTTGGAGAGGCAATTGCCAAAAGCAAGAGATCTCCAGAAAAATTGTTTGTTCTTTTAGACATGTTTGAAATAATGCGAGAACTGCAACCTGAGGTACAACGTTATCCTTGCTTTCTTTTTTTGTCTGTTTCATTTGGGAGTGGAGGGATGGATGACACCTTATGGCTTCTCTTTTAAATGCCTGGGACTCAAATAATAAACGTTTTCTTCCAAATATCGGACATTACTTTTAATATTTTCAAATTTATGATATTTGGGATATCATTGCATATGTTATATTGCACTTTTACCCCCGAGTGTAAAATTGCCAATTCACTTTTGAGCCATATAGTCGGTCTTTTTCAATGGTTGTGGTTGTTGTTTGCATATTTTTATGGATTTATACCGTCAAGCTAAAATGAACCATTGGAATCTGAAATGGGTGACTTATTAACACTGTATTTGCTACAGTAAATTGATGCCATGCGGTAGGTTTTTATGCTTCTGTATGTGAGAAGATCAAAATCATATTTCCACGAGTGCAACTTGCCAACACTAAAGTGTATTTTACTTTTCAATTTCCTTTTGATGACGTGCTAAGAGCAGATTGAAACACTATTTGGAAGTAAAGCATGCATTGAAATGCGGGATTCTGCATTGAGCTTAACTATGCGCCTTGCCGAGACAGCTCAAGAGACCTTTGTTGATTTTGAAGAAGCCGTAGAAAGAGATGCCACAAAAACTGCTGTTCTTGATGGGACTGTTCATCCCTTGACTAGTTATGTGATAAATTACGTCAAGTTTTTATTCGAGTAAGTTAATACTTTCTGTGGCTTCCACTTCAATATTTCTTGTCATACTTTTCCCCCTTGAAACCACGACCCGCATCCCAGACATACCATACAACAACAGCTGCATTGTACGTTCTCCAAGTTGTTGCCTGAAGTACACGCCTTTCTCAATCATATTTACAATTATTACATTAAACTACAGCCTATTTTTCTGCTCTGGAACGTTTTGTTTTAATTCATAGATGATCTCCAAAAGAACTTTTCTGGCTCCCCTTTTCTTCTTCTTCTTTTTCCACCCTCGTTATTTGGTTCTTCTAAGAAATGATTTTTGATACATTTTATAAATACATCAGTATGGCTGATTGGCGCCTTTTCATGTGATTTCCTGGCAGTTGCATGTCTGTTGTTTTAGTTGTTGTTTTTATATCCTATTCGTACCCTATAGCTACAAAACTATGTTTCTCACAAACATCGTAAAATGTACAGCTACAAATCTACTTTGAAGCAATTATTCCAAGGTTTTGAAGCTAGCGATCCAGATGCTCAGTTAGGAGTGGTAACTAAAAGAATTGTGCAGGCCCTTCAGACTAACCTTGATGGGAAATCTAAGCAATATAGGGATCCTGCACTAACTCAATTATTTCTGATGAACAATATTCACTATATAGTGAGATCTGTCCGAAGGTTTGTAGTATATTTGGTTTGTATGTCAAAAGACTATGATTTATCCTATTGGTAATAGTTTGTTACAATGAGTTCTCAGATCGGAGGCAAAGGATTTGTTGGGTGATGACTGGGTGCAGATACATCGAAGGATTGTACAGCAGCATGCAAATCAATACAAGCGGATTTCTTGGGCAAAGGTTTGGTTCACTCGACTCTTTCTAGTGCAAATCAATTCAAGCGGATAACTTTCGATCTTTTACTTCTGGTTTTTCTCTTCTAATGCAGACAATAGATCAGTCTAAGAGAAAAAGTTAGAGGAAGTCCTATCCTTACCGGAACTTTATCTGTATAGTGTATGATATGATCTTTATGATGTCAAGGATGACATCATGAACTTGTAACCACTTTGGTGAAAAAGTTGGTTTATTTTTCATGGGACAACTGAACTGGTTGTCTTGACAAAAAGAATTGCACTTACTTATTCAACTGTGTGCCTCTTCTTTACCGAGAGAAAAAAGAATAAAGGGAAAAAGAAAAGAACTCATTTACATTAGGATGGGTCAAATAACGATCACAACTCACATTTATCACTGTACAATGTCGTTTAATAAGGTCGAGATGTAACCCTTAAAATGCAAACTTTTTCTAGGGAATGTGAAGATCATGGAAAACATATTAGCTTTTTCTCAGTATTTGCTATCAAGTCCCAAAAAGACCAAGAAATACTCTGGAGGGTTAGTATTCTAAGGTTTTTGTTTCTTGTTTGCAGATTTTGCAGTGCCTCACTGTTCAGGCCTCAGGTAGTGGTGGTGCATCGGCAGATGCTGGCGGTGGACTTTCAAGAGCTATGGTGAGAGATAGGTTCAAGACTTTTTACATTCAATTTGAAGAGCTTCATCAACGGCAATCTCAGTGGACAGTTCCTGACAGTGAGTTGCGGGAGTCATTGAGGTTGGCAGTTGCTGAAGTTTTATTGCCTGCCTACCGATCTTTCATCAACCGTTACGGGCATGTTCTCATTACTGCACTCTAAAATGATAAAACCTTAACTTTTACAATTGTGTGTATTCATGTGTAAACTACATGTGCAACAGGCAGATTGAGAATGGAAAAGCTTCTCAAAGATACATCAGATATTCACCGGAGGATCTTGAGCGTATGCTAAATGAATTTTTTGAGGGTAAGACATTCAGTGAACAAAAGCGCTAGTAGCTTCTCCAAATGCTCTGTACATGGACAAAGTTAGCGCAGGTACTTCCCCTCCCCCCCTTGTTCTTTTCTCTACAATTTGTATCATTAGATTCGTTCATCCATTTTTTAATATTTTCAACATCTACATGCTCGTATGCAGTTTCTAGCAGTATGACAAGTCCTTCCTCCTGCAGGCACCCTCATTTTTTTTAATGGTCTTGTTGTGTATATGTCAATTTATTCTCGCGAGCCTGCCTAGGAAAATATTCAAAGCTGTGTTCATTAATTGTATCTCTAGAAATTTTCAGAATCATAATAATTCATGTCAATGTAGAAGAAAAATTCCCAACGCTTGAGCTTGGCTACTCTTTCTTCATTTTTCTTTAGATTTCTTGTAATAAAGGGACAAAAACTTAACAAAATTTATAAATATGGCTGAAGTTAACGAAAGACTTTTTCATCAAATTAAGTAGGATATGATTCATCTCCCTCTCGGCTATTTAGTGGTTTCTATCCAATATACTTGGTGATTTCCAATCCTTGATATTGTAGTAGTAATAGTAGTATACGATGCTCTCCTCCACACTTTCCCTTATAAACAAACTTTCCAAACTGCCCACCGGAACCTTTCCTCTCCTTTTCCTTCCTTCTCACTTCTGAGACCTGAGCACACTTTTTACATCTATTAGGTAGGTGAACAAGACCTTTTCTTTGGTGCCTACGAGTAAGAATTAAGCGACGCCGAATGCGTTATATAGATTTTTTTCTCTCCTCGTAGTCTTCATTTGCCTCATGAAAGATTAATATGATTGCCAAAGAACCATTAAAATCACACGAGGATGCCGAGGCTTATACTTTGGTGCACCTTGAGCAACTAAAGATATGCCAAGGTAAGCCATCTGATAGGTTATATGGATTTTCCTTAAACTTCAAAGATCGAAAGTACAGAAGGCAAGCCTTTTGATCATTCAAATGGCTTCCTTCTGGCACACTCAATTGTTGGAGGTACATGAGGGAAGTAATTTTCTGTCATCAATCATGGAGGCCTGTTGACTATATTTGTTCATTTCATTCCGTAGGCTTCAACTTTACATCGTTGAATGCCCCTCCCCCAATTTGGATAATTAGTACAATTTATCCTAGAAGTTGCTAAGCTTGGAGAGATTAAAGTGTCATGAACATGTTGATGGTTTCCTTAGAACATCAGGAATATTAAGTAGAAGCCTGTTATGCTATTAGAATGGCCTCTGGTTGCTGAGGAAAATCTTCGTTAGTATTTTCGTCCCCGTCAGCATCGACATCTAAAACCTTGAAAATTAGTAATGTCACTCTTCGAGCTAAAATACTACAATAATTGCGAAGGGAAAACATCTGAATTATAAAGCCAAATCATTTGATGATCTAAGTTTTGCCTTAGGTCTTATTTTTCTGTTGAGGTGGCTTAATTTGTTTATAGATGGGTTATGTTAATTTCTGATAGGAAGTCATATTCATGGTCAAATGGAACATAAACTAATAGATTTTGTTCTATCGTATCTGAATTTATCTATTTTTCTTTTACATATTTTGAGTAGGAGTGTTCATTATCCAGTTGAGTTGAAATATTTTTTAGATTCAACTCTATTGCTCCAATTCAACCCAACCTGATTGTGTTGCTCGAATTATTTATGTCATTTATTCAAATTTTTGTTTGTGCAAAATATCCCCCGTTTATTTTCTAACATTGAATCAAAATTTGGCCATTCTATTTAAATATATATTTTAAAAAATTATGTTCTAAAGAACTTGAGAATAAATTATTGAAAAATCACCTAAGGCTATCCGAAGGGATTGATTCTATTCACAAAAGAACCTGAACCATAACCTTTTTTGCTCCTTCCCGCTTTTCTTTTATTCCCTTCTTGAACTAACTGTAAAGACTCAACTCTCAATTCTTTCTCTTTAACTCCTTGTTACCAGAGAGTTATCGACCAACACGAAATAATTGAAATCTTATCTTCAATCAATTCCTTCGCTTAGGATTTCATAAGCAGTTCAATGAAAGAATAGGAAAATAAAAGGCAATGGAATTGTGAGATTGTAAGTAACTAATTTAGTCAAAGTAGCAAATAGACAGTGTTAATCATTCATTTAGTAAGCCCCTTCATCCTAAGCCTAGTGCTAAAGCCGTATTGCACCTAACTACGAAAGTCTCCCAGCGGAAAGAAGACCAATAAGGTGGGATCAGAAGGCTCAGTCCCTCAAAGAGCAAAATAAGTCACCAACCACCCAAGTAGATATCAGATATGCAAATCATGAAAGATTCATTTATTCATTTGACTGAACTAATGAACCTTCACCTATCTATTCTTTCATTCAATCCGGAACCTGAACGGGAACTTGAACCGAATAAATATATGCATATATAAGTGTATTCATTTGTTTTATTATTATTATTATTATTTTGCCATTTTCTTGCTTGGAATTATCACATATGAGAACTTCCAAACCCTAAAAACTTTCTCCGAGCGCATGACAAACAAGGTACGTGCTTTACACGCATCTCAAAAGAAGACAAACGCCGGCCTTATCACTTCATCAACTAGAGAATTTCTACCAAATTTATGGTTACCTTAATTAAAAAAAAAATATATATGTGATTCAATTTGTAATTTTTGAACTAAAAAAAAGATTAATTATAATTATTTAACTGAAATGGTCCATTACATTTAAATTCTCTAATTTAATATTTAAATGTTATATATATTCTATTATTATCCACGTTATTGAAATTGAATCAATACAATTACCTTATCTAAAAATGGTCACCAAATTATTATTTTTTAAAATATAAAATAGGTTTAAAAATTTGCTAAAAGGTAGGACGAACTCATCTATATTTTTTTTAAAGATTTTATGCATTAAAAATATATATATGTATTATATATTAAAAAAAAACTCCTTGAAAAAGGTAGAAATAGAAGAAGAGAACGAGGAATAATGGGGAATCGAGGAAGATAGTGTAGGGTTGTTTAGGAGAACAAAAAAAAAAAAAAAAAAAAAAAAAAAAAAAAAAAAAAAAGGAAATTAATTAAACCACAAATTGAAACACCTTAAGGCCCTACGGTCAATCCTATCTTCAATCCCAATAATTCTATTGCTCCTTTCCCACATGCCTCTCTTCCTTTTTTTTCCCACCATATAATATTTTATTTAAATTAATTCCCAATTTGTTCTATTCAAATGTTTTATTTATGTGTATATATATATATATATATGTATGAGAAAAGACAAGAAGAGAGAGGGGATAGTCATTTAACTTTAGATTTTTTATTTTTTTGAAAATTTTATATCTAATAAAATTTTTAACATTAATATATATATATATATATATATTATCAAAATTTAGTGAGTAAATTTTTCCAATAGAAAAAATACCATTGACCTAAAATTTAATGAAAAAATATTTAGCAATAAAGACAATATAAGATTCTTCTCAAGGATTGACGACAAAAATGTCGGAAATGTCAAAAAAAAAATCGAACATTTCAACTATACATGTATACACATTATTTTATGTACTTATTTTCGATTACGTTCAAATAAAACTGAGCTACTTATTCGAACGGATTTTCTTTCGAATTTCAGTCAAAATTCTAAGAAAAAGAAAGATGCTTAATTAGATAAAAGAAATATTTTTAATTAGTCATATTCATCTAAAAACGGACAATAATAAATTAAGTTAAGTGTCATAGTTTTAAAAAAAAATGTTATAAATTATCTAATTATATGTATAAGAAAGTGATACAATTATCGTTATAATTAGAAAAAATAGGTTGAAAATGATCTGATTACTATATCTATAAGAAAGCGATTTGATATTAAAAATAATAGTTTAAGGTGACCTGACAAAAAGATTCCTAAAATAAATTTAAAAATAATAAAAATGTCAAAATTTCACTCTAGGTTAACTTTAAATTTTTTTAAAACGATATTCATAAATATAAAATTAGCAATAATATATTTTTATATTACGTTTTATGGTATAAGAAAAATAAATAATTAAAAGAAATAAATCAATAAATCGAAGGGTTATAAAAAATCAGTAGCGAAAGCCTTTTGTGTGGTAAAAGCATGTGAGCTTTTTGTTGAAAGAAGAAAATGAAAGCACTCGATTAGCTTTAATACGTGAAATCCTGAAATTACCCATTTGCCCCTGCAGACTTAAACCCGACTAATCCGAACTATCAAACTCAAACCATAAAAATTGGAGTCAACCTCGTTCATTCGAAAATAGAGGTACAACTCAATCTAATCATAATTTTATATTACGATAAAAAAAATAAAAAAATATTTAACAGTGACCCGTAAATGTTTAATATTTGAAATTTACTAGATTTTAGTTATTAAGGTAAATATGTATTTTAAAAAAAACAACTCCATAACTTAACTCAATTGGGTTCAGTTGGGTCGAATTGTGAACTCTACTCAATTTGTTCGGATCACCGACCTAACTTAACCAACACGGTCCCTATTTACAGCGGTCGGCTTTGGCGGCTCGGGGTGTGGGGCTTGAATATTCTCCAATAACTCAAATGTGGAAAGGAAAACCGCCATTTTGAAATTAGCTTGGAACCTTCCTTTGCACGTTATCCCCACATTTTCTCTTTCCTTTAAATAATAATATTAATAAAAGACGACTTTCCCTCTTTCTATGGTGACACAAAATTTTATTACAATTTTACCCTTTTGTATCTAATTAGATACATATTTTTTTGTTCTGTGTACTTCTTCAAAATTTCTTTATCGGGAGGGATCTATACAAAACATCGTCATTATACGTATAATTTTTTTAATTATATTATATGTATTTTTTAAACGTTCATCAAATGAGATCGACGAACCATTGTTCTTTTTATACCATGATTAAATAGAAATTTTAGTATGGAAAAATAGACCTGTGTTTTAGAAAAAATAATAATACGGCGAATGTTATTTTTATAATATGCGTAATTTAAAAAATTATCGAAAACTATATAATTATTTAATAACACTTGGAATTTCTTCATTTTATTATTGGAAATAAAAAAAATTAAAAAGAAATGATTATCCAATAACCTAAAAAGTAATTAAAAAATAATGACAAAAAAGGAATAATTTTGAAAGAGAAAAAAAAAAGTGAGTCATCAAACACACAAAAAGGCAACAAAACTCTTCAATAATTAAATGTTGCCTTTTTTTTTTTTTTTTTTTTTTTTTTTTTTTTTTTTTTTTTTTTTTTTTTTTTTTTTTTTTTTTTTGTCTTGTCTTCACAAACTAATTATTATTGAAGCGTAAAATAAATTATTTCCAACTACTATAGTACCCTGATATTCATTTTCTTTATTATTAATTTTTTAAAGCTTTATTTTTATTTTTTATTTTTTAATTGTTGTCTTATTCTTATACATACAAATTAAATTCTTTTTCATTAATGGAAAATAATTTTTATTTCGTTCTTTCAAAATATTTTTATTCGATTTTTTTAGTTATATAAATACATCCAAATAATATGAGTGGGTGTGAGTGAGACTAGAGGCGAGAATATGGACGAAAAATATAATATTCGTCACGGACCCAATTTAGCTAATAAAGAGAAATCTTTTCCCAGTCTCTTCTTACGAAAACGAGAGCCAGAATATAACCTCTGTCAATAACCCAATTTAGTTAGATAAATCTCTCTCCACATACTTTCTCGTTCTCCATTTAAATCAAATTTTTTTGCCCTTTTCGAAATGGGTCATTATGCACCCCGACTGTGAGATCCCAGATCAATTAGAGAGGAGAACGAGTGTCTGGAAAAACACTAGGTCACGAAGGGTGTTTGGGAATAAAACATTATCTACAAGGATGTGTGAAAATCTCTGTAGAGGAACCCCGAAAATAAAATTCCAAATAAGACATGCTAGTGGTGAGCTTGAGCTGTTACACCGACTCTACCAAAATACCTTAATAGGTTAAGAATACTCTAACTTAAATTTAATAATTTATGGTAAGTTATGCTTTAAAATATTATTATATATTTATATCACAAATTTGTGGTCCATAAATAACACTTCAAATCATCATTTTCCCAACCAATCTCCACTACTGATGAGATAGAGAGTTGAAGAACGACTTCAAAACCGCCTTCTTCTCTCTCCCTCTTCAACAGATTCTGATCCACCGGCACCGGCAACGGCAACGGCACCGTCGACAATATGGTTAAGGAATGCGCTCACCACAGCAAAAAACGCCCAAAACTAATCCGGAAAATCTACGCCGGAGTCCTAATCTTCCTCTTCCTTGTCCTTCTCACGATCCTCTTAATTTGGGCCATTCTTCAGCCGACAAAGCCCAAATTCATCATCCAAGACGCCACCGTCTTCCTCTTCAACGTCACCGCCGCTAATTTTATCTCCTCCAGTATCCAAGTCACCATCTCCTCCCGGAACCCTAACGACAAGATCGGAATCTACTACGACCGCCTCGATGTCTACGCCGTCTACCGGAACCAACAGATCACTCTCCGTACCGTCATTCAACCTAACTATCAAGGCCACAACGACATCAACATCTGGTCACCGTTCGTCGTCGGTAACGCCGTTCCGATCTCTCCCTACAACGGCGCCGCTCTCAATCAAGACCAGGCCGTCGGCACCGTCTTGTTGTCCATCAAAATCGACGGTCGCGTCCGATTCAAGGTCGGCACCTTCATCTCCGGCCGCTACCATCTCAACGTCGACTGTCCGGCGGCTATCATGTTCGGAAATCCAACCGCCGGTATTATAGTCGGTAATAACGTCGTTAAATACCAGCTGGTACGGCCGTGCAGCGTCAGTGTTTAAGCTCCCGTTATTGCCGTCAGAATTCTTGCTCTCCGTTTTCTCTCTCCTTAACGTCGTTAGTTTTCTATATTCTCTGTCCTTTTTTTCAATTTAAGACGATACGTCAGGATAAAGGTCTGTGAATTGTAAATTTTTCCAAATAATAAAAATGAAAAATGAAAAAAATAAAAATAAAAATTATTACGTGAATTTGTAAAGAGAGCAAAAATTTAGAGGTCGGTGGCAATTGTGTAATTTTCTATTACATTTGTATTTAATATTTCTAATGAAAATTTAATATAATGTTTAGAGATTATGCATATCTTCTCCCCATTGCCATTTTGCTTGAGCTTTGGACATTGCCACGTCATTTTCATTTCATTAACTTATTTTTTTTTTATTTTTAGCCCCCACTTTCCAATTGTACCCCTCTTTTTTTTCTTCATTATAATTTCGGTCCATTTGCGATTTTCACAAAAATTATAAAAATTTCGAGATTGAATCTCTAAAAAAATCGAGTTATGCTCCCGACCCTTATAAAGAAAATGAGTTATCTGGTGATGACTAAGTTAAAAAGCATGTCCGATTGTTAAATCCCGAGCAGCCTCAATAAGGTATATAAAAATCTTCTTGAAAGTTCGGGCCAAACCCCATCCATAAGCCAACTACAAAGTATAATTTTTTAAAAAATAAATATTTAAAAAAAAAAAACAAAACAAAATTGAATAATTGGGGGATGGTTTTAGGTGGGGTGGGTTGATTTTGGATGCATATGGTAATGGGAGAAAATGGGCAAATGAAAAATGACAATTTCCTTACCTAACAATAATTGAATTAACAAAAATACCTTTTTTCTTTTTTTTCTTTTTTTTTTTTTTTTGCTTTTATTTGTCTCCACTTAATTATATTTATTTTAATTTATTTGAATGAAAAAATTATTTATGAGGTAATTGAGTCAATCCAAAGCTTCCACATGCCCTCACCAACTTACCCTCCATTTTATAAGCATTTTGGTTTAAAGTATAAGCTAACATGTGATGTCTTTTCTAACCAACTAATTAAAAATGTAGCTAATCTTTCTACCTAATAAATAATTAATCATTTTTTTTTATTAATTAAGTTTCGAGATTGAGTTGACATTATATTCAATTACATTAAATAAATATTGTTTGTTAATACAATGGTGTCGATTCATATTTCAATTTAACGTTAAACAGTATTTTTAAAATGAGGTGCAAAATTAATCGATATTTTATATAATTTAGTAAAAAAAAGTAAAAATTTAATAAAATTTTCAAACCTAAACCATCTATTAACCCAACCCAACCTAATCATATATTTATTGGGTTGAGTCAGGTTATTTGGACTATTTATAAAAATAAAAAACTAATTAGTAAAATATATATTTACTTTTTCTTTAAACATTTAATTACATTTATAACACATTTGTGAAAATCTACTTTCCAAATAATAAAAAATAAGAGAATAAATAATAAAAAATAATTATGTAATTAAATAAAAATAAAATAAATATATTTATGCGTATACACCAATTTAATAGTCACAAACACACACACACATATATATATATATATTTTTTTTTTAATTTTTTTTTTTTTTATTTTCACATACATACATATTTAACCGAATACCGCCAGGTGGGAGTATATAAACTAGTTTTTACCTTTTACCCCTCGGTATATTCTTTTTTATTATTATTATTTTTTTACCGCAATTATATTCATGATCAATTTCCGGTGCATCTCTGCTTCCGAAATCCGATTCTCTCCTTCGCCAAATCATACTGCACCAAAACATTCTGCTGCTGAAACGCCCCGAATATAATCGCCGGCCCACCGCCGCCGCCGAGGAAGTTTACATCCGTTATCATCGTTAAGCACACCACGCCGGTATCCGTCACCAACGCCAAGTAATTCGCCGGCGGCAAAGCCAGCGTCGCTCCGCCTTTAAATTTCAAAATCAGTTCCGGAAACTCCACTGATTCCTCCTTGGATATATCGAAGCACGGCCTCAAACCGGACTCTGCTTCAACGCCCTTAGCTCGGGGATATTTCACCAGTTGTTTCTCCAACTCTTCCGCTACGGCTTCGAAAATTGGTTTATCTAGAAACGTGAACGTCGAACCGGAATCGATGATCGCACCGCCGTTTCCAGCGGAGTTTGGCACGAGGTATTTGTACGGGAACTTCACCGGCTTTCTGCCGATGAGGATTCTCCGAAGAGTAAGGTAATAGTACTCTCGAAATGCGGCGTTGGATCCTGATGGATTTTCTCGGAACGGTGCGTAGATGAGACTGTTAGTCTTCGAATCGCCGGATTCCGGACTGGAGTCTAGTACGAGAGGGCTACTCACTGGCGAGTCGTCGAACTGGCGTGGAACAAGGCAATGGGAGAATCGTTTCAGTCCCATTTGCGAGGGCAACGATTCGGGACCGCGGCCGAATCCAGCAATGCCGGCTGGTTGATGAACGGACAAGACGGAACAACCGACGAGAAAATCCGGAACTCGTTTCTCGGGGAAATCGAGCGTTTCAGAGAGGAGGAACCCGGCAGTTGCGCCAGAGCCGTATTGAATGCCATATCCAGGACAAGTATCGGAGCATTTTCGCGATCTAGGGCTACAACTTCTACACGAGGACTTCAAATTAGGGCCAAAAATCCAAGAACATTTTCGATTTCGACAACCAATAATCCTCGCAGAGGAAGATAATTTGGGGATGAATTTCGGAATCGTTGCAGCATCGACATTGGGAAACGAACAATTGGAACAGCGGTAACCGGCAGTACATGGGAACCAGACGAGACTACTTCCAGTATCGAAAACTAAGGATAAACTCTGCGGTGGAGTTCCGAAGGCGAGAGAGATTGAATAAGCTCCATAGCTACGAGGGAACAGAGCAACATTCTGAATGGAAGTATTTGATTTAGTTTTTGGGGTCTTGAGGTGTTGAGCTCTGGCGAGGGAAGCAGAGACAAGATGCTTGATGTTTTTCCATGGATGAGTAAGTGGAAGCGAAGGGAAGGCAGTGAGGGGGAGTGTAACGGTGATGCTGGAGGAAGAAGATGAAGCGGAAAGAAGAAGAACGATGGAAAGGAGAAATTGAATGGGAAAAAACTCCATGGATTTGATTTGATTTGATCTGATCTCTGCTCAGAAGAAGATGATTTGGGGGAAATGGAGCTTTTGATTTGCAGAGTTAATGGAGATGACAAGTTGCCACCGAGTCCAAACTGCATGCCACGTTATCATCTGCCTACGTCTATGCCCATCCCTGGTATGTTCAATTTTCCCATTGTTTATCGAATTGATTTTATAAACTTCAAATGGGTAAGATACACATATCATATATTATCATATATTAGGTTATAAAAGTCAAATATTCTTTGTCCTTACAAGTATGGTAGAGTTGGGTTAGATTGTAATCCTATTTTTAGGTTGGTTGGGTTGGAACTGACTCGAATTTTCTGTTTTTCGAAAATTGAACAAAACCCTAAACTTTAAAAAAAATATAATCCAACCCAAGGTTGGGTTGGTAGTCTAGGTTGATCGAGTCTCTGGTAATATGAACTCCTCTAATTATAATGCTACTATGGTATGATTTTATGTTAATTAAACCTCACATTTAGCATATTTGACGTATTTTATGGATTAAGAGGTTAGAAATTCAAATTTTTAGTTAAAAATTATGTAATATTCGAGGATAGAAAGATACCAATGCGTTTTTAGCCCATAACCCACCAAAGGGACCATATTTTCCTTCTTTTGTTTTTTTCATGAAGATTGTGAGGTGCACCTTTCGTGTAGCCTAAAAATAAGCAATGGAGCTGTATATCACATGGTAGTGGTTGTATAGCAAATGGGGAAGTGAGGAAAATGATGAAACGTTTAATTATTACCATTTAGATTAATGTTTGGTTTTTATCCCAATAAGGGGTTTGATTCTTTTTCACAAACTTTCAAAATTTTGATTTTAGTCCTTCCATTGTTTTCTTTGTCATTTTGGTCCTTCTTTCCTAATGGAATAGACATTACTAGCAACTCAATTGCACAAGTGTTAGTGTATGTATAGTTTGTTCCACTTGATAAGATTTCTAAGATTGAGTGACGCCTATGCCATTCAAGGGAAATGATTCATACGAATGTGGATTAACTATAACTATCCAAATTTTACTGTGGAATTTTGTCACACGTGATAGTGTTTTACTGTATCAACGGTTTTCTTGTTTTTGAATATTACTGAGATAGGCTTTTCCCCAATACTATGATCAGTGGAGGAATAATACCCAAATTTGAGAGGGCGACGATCGAGATAAGCAAACTTGGAGGAATCCTTTACTTGTATCATAAACTTGTGTGTTGTTAACTTGAATGTAATTCATTGACTTAGGTATGCACTTTTTACTAAAGGTCAAAAGAGAAGATTTTCTCATTTACACAGGGTTGAACTTCGGAAAAAAAAAATGATTTCATATTAGGACATGGGAGATTTGTTAACTGTGTCAAGTTATGTTGAGGTTGTGATAATTATTAAGGTTAAGAGGTGAACTTAAGTATGACTCAATTGGTTAAGACATATTTTGAAGGAGGTGATTGAAAAAGATGACAGAAGCCTTTTTGGAATGTATGCAAGTGTGGCAAGTATAAGATCAAAATAGTTTCGTTCACCAAACTTATTAGGTTGTCTAAGCGCTATGTATAATCTCAACTTCTATGTGAATGACCGTAATTTTAATTTAGGTAACACATATATAGTTAAATTACAAGTTTAGATTCATAAAATTTCTAGTTGTATCAGTTAGGTGTCATGGTTGCATTGTTTTAAGGTGTGTTATGTCAAAATCATGCCTACACCTATCAATGCTAAAATGATTCATAATGGGCTATAAGAGATATGATTAGGTGTCAATTTTCCTACTCAGTTTATATAGTATCAAAGTCATAGTTGTTGTTTATTCGGTTTTAACCGTTCCGTCATATGTTAATAAAATTCACCTTTCATACAACTGACTTATTTACTGAATTAGAATAAATGTCTCACAATTGTTGTCCTAGCATAATTCCAAGAGTACATTTGTAACACTATATACCTAAACTTTAAAAATATCTTAGAAAGTTTTGAAATTTTAATATTAGGCAAATAAGTTTCTAAATATTCAATTTTATTCCGATAAGCTAGTAGATTAATTAATCCCATAAAATTGAATATATATTTTTATAAAAAAAAAAATGTGAAAGGGATATATATATACACTAAAATGGATTTAAAAAATTCAATTATTATTTATTACGTTTTTTATTCCTAAGCTTTTAGATAGTTTCTATTTAGTCCCTCAAATGGTTACATTTTATTTTTATTTTTGACTTTCGAAAATTGAATTTCAATTTGGTCCTTAATTTAAAAATGTATTAAAAATAGCCTTTCAAAAGGAAAGCCGTTCGCATCGTGCCGTTGAATAAACAATTTGAAATAAAAAGGAAAATTAAACCAAATCCCGCGTCATGGTGGGACCCACTTACCACCATGCTTCCTATCAAATCGCGTAGCGTACAATAAAGCTGTCTCTCTCTCTCTCTCTCTCTCTACAGTTTTTTGAAAAGTAAATTTCAATTTCAAACACAAATGCAGCTGAATTTCAACCTTGAATTTAAAAACAAAAAAAAAATTGAATTAATAAAAATTCAGTAAAAACAGATGCGAATCAAGAACTAATAATTACAGCAGATCAATCCGGAAAAGAGAAAGCAAAGAAGATGGCAGATAATTGAGATCTAACGATTACAAGTCATAGCTGCACTTGGTGGTTTCGAACACGCCATTTGAAGAAGAAGAAGAAGAAGAAGAAGAAGTACCATTGGATGTTAAAGGCACCTTCAATGGACAGTTTATCTTCGGTTTATAGTGCCCAAATTTCACAAAGCCGAACTTGAATCTGATCCTCAAGTTTAGCTTCACATCAATCTTGAAAATCCCCGAGCTCTTCTCAGAATTAAACGACGAAATTCCATCCGTCCCTAGAAGAATCATATGCTGTCCGACGAACGTAGGGCTGAGTAAACTGGTGTTCTTGTGCCCCTGGTAAAACCGGCTCAAATTCACCGTACTGAACCGCTGAGATTCGTAGAAGGCGCTAACCTCGACGTCGTCGTAATAGATCCCGATCCTCCGATTCGGATTTCTGGCGGTGATATTCAAAGCCAGATTGTAGTGGAGGTTATTATTAGCAGTGGAGAAATTGAACTGCGTAAGAGAAGCATCGACGGCATGGAATTGGAGGAGATTCGGACGGAAGATCAACCACAAGAGGAACACAACAATGCCAACGACGATGACGACGGTGATGATGATTTGACAGATGAGATTGACGATACAACCGCAGCAGCAGTTGAAGAGGCAGCCGAGACAACCGCAGCAGCCGCATCCTCCGTCGCCGCGAGAGGGGCGGTGGTAGGACTTGGAGGGGGGAGGAATGGAAGGGCCGTAGAAGGCTCCGTTGAGATGAGGCTGCCCATTGGCCATTGTAGAAGAGAGAGAGAGAGAGAGAGGGAGATTGAGTGTGGTTTGAAGGGATGAGGGGGAAAGGGGGAAATTTGGGGATTTATAAAAAATTAGGGTTTGACAGAATCTGAACGTACAACAACACTCTAACCTTCCTTCCTTGAAACCTTATAGGTCACCAACACATCTCTCTCAATCTCTATCCTAAATTCTCAAACATTTGTACCTTTTAGATAGTTTTGTATAAACAAATATAAACATATTTTTCTAACCCATTCAAATATTTTTAATAATTTAACCTTTAAACTTTTAATATGACTTTAAAACTTTGAGATTATGAAATTTTGAATGTTTGAGTTTAGAAATTATTTTAAATTCAAAATTTCAAGACTAAACTTGGTAAGTTTTTGGAGCAGATTGTGAAAGGATCTTCGTTTAGAGGTGTAATAATTTTTTATCTTTTCAATTGTTGTGTAAATCTTTTAAAAATGTTTAATTAGTTTTAAACTAATTATGTAGAATTCAACACTTTTTAAAACTAAAAAACTTATTAGACAAATTTAAGAGTTCATAGAATACACTTGTAATCGTTGACTTTTTTTGAGTTCTTAAATTGACTAATTATACCTCGAAAATAAAAAAAATTTGCAATGACATCCTTGTTTAATAGGCTAATTAATTCTTTAATGGATGATTGTCTTATTATGGGGCTATGTAGAGCTAATGAAGCATGTCGCCATTTGTTTCTAAATTTCATTATTTTGATTAAATAGTTGTTGTACTATACGAGTGTAACTATAACGTCACACATTACACCTTCTTACAATTTTTAAACATGATGAATTAGATTGTCCATTCGAGCACAACTTAGTGAATAATAAAGAACCATTGACCATTCCAAAGGTGGTCGATGATTCGACTTCCCACCCTCCCACTAGTTGAACTCAAGAAAAAAAAAAAAAAAACTTTGAAATCAGATTGCCTTATTCATTTTCAGAGCTAAGGAGCAAAAATGAAAGAACAAAAAAGATGCTACCTTTATGAACAAAATCATAGTTCTTCAAATCCTTCTTCATCTCCTTCATTCTCAATCCTCTCGAATTCCTTCCTCCAAATTTCCATCTGAAGAAAATAATCATATATCATATATCTATGCAAACTCAAAGCATTAGCAACTATAAGTTAAAGCAAATAAGTCAAACACTACTTCTTTTAGAATTAATCCAAAGAGAATAACATCACAATGAAACTAGAGTTCTTAGCATGTTGACAGGAACTACACAGAAAAGAGGCAGCAGGAGCAAAATATTCTACCTCGTAATCCGAAAATCGCAATTGTTCTGCAACAAATGGAGTATTCTTATAGGGTTCCAATGTCAATTCCTTGCCTAACGTCCTCGCAAATTCCTCGAGGACGATCGTTTCCACCCGAAAACCATTGCTCATAAAAATTTTGTCCATCCACTTCATTGTACTTGTACTAGACTGTAATAGGAATCATACAAATGGCAGCATGTTTAGAGAGGCAGAGAAGCAATTGAAAGACAGAAAAATGTTCCTCACTCAATGCAACTAAACAAACTAACCCTGGACTTAATTTCAGCTTCAGCCAACCAAGAAGGTAATTCACCCAAGAAATAGCTTCCTTTCATAGCCAAACTGCTAACAATGAACAGAACATCTTCAAAATCCACCAAAGTCTTAATGGGAAGTCCCTGAAATACAATAAGAAAATAAAAACTAAGCACTTTTACTATTGCTACTCTACACAAAACTTCATTTCTTTCATCCATTGAATAAGAGTGTTCATTAGGGGTGTACATTCAACCCGACAACTCAAACTAATCCAACCCAAATTATAGAGGTTGGGTTGGGTTGGATTAGAATTTTGGGTTGGGTTGAGTTCATTTTTCTGAACCCGAACTAATTCAGTTCGGTATCGGGTTCATAGGACAAAAACTTAGGGTTGACCTGAACCGAAGAACAATTTATAAGATATATTAAGAACTGTTCATCACCTGCATCACCCATATACTCGGTTGATCTCCTCGAAAACCTCTATTGAAGATTTCTAGCGGTATATTTGGGGACTCCAATGGGACATGGCAGAAAAAGTTGCCTCTTGGGATCTTGGCTCCACTGCCTAATCATTTTCAAGAACATTTAAATCATATTCTATAATGGCTTCATAAGCCTTATAGCTGCAGTGAATTTCATGAACATGCTGCTTGCCTAATCAATTTTATGAACATCAGATCAAGTTCATGAACCTTGCAGCTTATAGCAATTAATGATTACAACAGATATTCATAACTGAAATAGTTAAATGGTAAACAAATTGGATATCTCATAAATTAAGTTCAATGTAAGGCTCAAGTTAGCAGCAATTAAAAGACAAAGATCTGTTTATGTAAAAACTTAGATAGAACAAACCTTGCAGATCTCGAGCCGCTCTTCTAAAAACATTGTCTGGAGATATGTCGAATATTGTTGTTGACATGGGCCAACGAAGCCTATATGGTCTAGTATCCATTCCATCCGTTAGCAACACAACCTACACATGTTAGAGAAATGTTAAGAAACTGATAATTGTTAAGTTCTAACTTATTTCTTATAATTATTTGCTAATACCTGCTTAACTCCATTAATATGATTGACTTGTTCAATCAACTTATCATCTAAGAACTTTGTTGCAACACAATAGTGGTGAGACTTTTGCTTGATTTGAGGATTATGAGCAACCCAGCAGCCAGCATATTCATCAACAAAAAGGGGCTCTGCATACATATAATCCATATAAAATCAAGTTCTAAGCACGTTAAAACAATTCATAAATTGTTTCATTTGCTCTGCTACACAACACTCCTCTGATTCTAAACTCCCTGCCTACTACTCACTAAGTGCACATCAGTTGTTCGACGAAATGTCTCCCCGAAATAATAGATGGAAACTGAACATACCCGGTTGGCGGGATTCCATGAACCGGAGAGACGCAGCTTCTTTAGCACTGAGGAACAAAGGGTCGTCGTCTTCACAGAGATGTGCTCTGAGAATCCCAACTCGGTTCTTGGTCCGCAGCGATGGCGAGCGAAGTACCACAGTCCACGGCGAAAGCATGTTTGCTCTGGGGAAGCTCCCCGTGAAAGCCATGGGTGAATCAGTGATGATGGATTTAAAGACACACCGATGCAAGAATCACTTCATGCTCGTCGACTGTGCGGCCATTTCTCTCTAATAATTACTCGAAAGCTCCAAAAACCAACGCAAATGGAGCCACGGTTGAAGAACGAAGAAATTAATACTCGGCTATGGCTCAAACTGTTCGAACCTCATCTCAATTTCTTCCGTAACTGCAAATCTTCATTTTCAATCAGTTCTCAGTTGTGAAATTTCTATACCAAAGAGAGAGGGAAATGCCGGTAAAGGAAAGGAACCGCTCTTTCTAATTTTTTTAAATTATAAAAAATACCCCTAAACTATCATTAATTCTAATTACACTCTCAATTTTGAAATATTTCATTAAATCTTTGTTGAATTTTTTTCAAAATAACCCTACATATTTTTGTCCACAAATTCATATATTTTTTGGTTATAAACTCAAACATGACTTATAAGTTAATGATTATAATTTTGAATTTATTATTTAAAAGAGAGAAAATTTTATCTATAATTTAATTTAGAAAAAAAAAAAAAAAGGAAGAAAAAAGAAAAAGTCATGTGGGGTTCTTATGCAATATGGAAGGATTTCAGGGGCCAAAATACAAATAATTTAAAAAAAAAAGTACTTTTGTTCCGCTACTCTTCCCTCCACATCCATCTAAACAAATTTCCCTCCTCCCATCTAAAAGCTACCAAATGCTATTCCTCAAATCTTCACCTTTAGTTCCACTCTGATCATAGAACCCTATTCCTCTTCTTCCTCGGCTTTTCATCCCATCTTCCATCTTCCATCTGCAAATCCTCTGTATTCGTTTTCTCTTGGCCTTTGGATCCTCCATGCGTGGCGGCTCTCGATCTCCGTACAGGTCGGAGCCACTGCCCCTCTCACAAACTGCTCAGATCCTGCCGCCTCTTAAGCATCAGCAAGCTTTCGAGTCGAATAAGCCGGTGCTTGCTTTTTCCAATTCTTTTGATCAAGAACCTGATTCCATCGCTGTTAAACCTCTCGTGAGTGCTGCAATTTGTTTATTGACTTGTCTCTATTCTGCATTGCTGCATAATTTGCTATTTTCTTCCTTGTCACTTGTTGCTTTCAAACCGTATATGGATTCATGTACCATTGCACGTTCGTCGTCTCTGCTTGTATGTTTTAAATTATACTTTTATGAAGCCCTCAAGGTGAGTCGATTCGTGTATTAGTCTCAGTCTAAGCTGTTTGAAACTGGAATGTTTTCCTCATCATGGTCAATCATTGTGTACGTGTTTTTCTGTGGAAGTAATTCATAGTGGGGCTTTCCAAACGTTGTTGAAGAAGCCTTTCTCACTTCTTATCAAAGAACATTTGAAGTTAGATGTCTGTGTCTTCAACTCCTGTTGCTTGTTATAAGAACTAATTATTTATGTTTTACACCTTAAGCATCATTAGAGAATTTGTCTCACATGCTGTAGATAGTTTAGATATTAAGGCATTCCAACAATATTTTATGTCCTAGCAACATCTAGCGTTCCTTAGATTTCAACTCTTTCTCTTGTGTTCTTTCTTCCTTAGGTTTGCCTCCTGGGGCAGTCCTAGGAAGATTGTGTTTTGGACCCCACGATCTAAAGAATTAGAGGAAGCTTTCGTAATGGATGAAGTTTTATGTATCTAGGCTTGAGAGGAGTAAGGCATACATTAATCCTGTTTGACACGGTGAACATTCCCACTTACTTTATCTCCCTCTTCAATTACCAAGTAAAGTGAGCTACCTACACATTTCTGAAGGGATGGGTTTCAATGATCGTTATCACTCGGCAAATTAGAAAGGTAGTTTATTTGTCCCTTGAAGGATGGAAACTTGGTATAACCCCGTATAGGGAACAGGCAGTTCTAGTGAATAGAATGCTTCTCTCCTTGCTAAATGCTCTTTAGAGATTTTAATTAGAAAGAAAACAGATCATTAAATGGAAAATTATCTCTTGTAAATATGCAGTGA